GGTCAGGTCAACTACACGGAGACCCGGCTGGAGTTCCTGGCTCCCAGCTTCAGCCTCAGCCCAGTGCTGACCCCTGCAGGTGTTTGGGGGAATAAACTGGTTACAGACCTCGCTCTGTCCCTCTGCTCCTTGAGTAAAAATAGGATCAAGACAGCCAGGAAATGTTTAATTCCATTTAATTACTATCAAGAGAATTGCAAACTTGACGCACAGCCTGATCTGCTCACATGTGGGATCTGGGGATTTCCTCCCTTGATGCTTCAGTTTGGGTTCACCCAGACACAGGGTCCTCCCGAACCCCCATCTGAACAGCCATGTGCCTCAGCTGCAAGCACACTCCAGCTTTCAAAGAGCAGCTGGCCTAAAGTCACAATGTTACAGTAAATGATCATGCTGATTACACGTTGAAATAGTAGCACTTCGCATATATTGTTAACTAAAATGTGCAATTAGCTAATGCCACCTGCTTTTTCTTTTTCCTTCGTCTTAGCAAATGCGGCTGCTGCTAGAATCTTGTGTCTATAGGACGCTTTCCCGCGTCTCCCTCCTCCTCTGCGTGTGGTTCCTGCATGCCCTCTCTCTACCCAGATCCACCTGGCACACACGGGTTTGGGAGTGGAGCAGAGCCTGGACTGTCCGCCATTCCCTGCCCCCAGCATGTGCCTGTGACACTGGACCTGCCCTGACCACTGAGGTCCTGAGGGGCTCCTGTCAGACAAGTCAGCATGCAGGTGGGCGCTGGGTCCTGGCTCAGCCAATCCTAGCAGGCTGCGAGGTCAGCTTCAAAGGTGCATCTGCAGGCCTCCCCTCGGGCCCAGCCCTGAACCGCAGAGAAGTAGATGCTAACCCAGGCAACCTCCCTACGTCTTGTGAAGCGAACAGAACCCCTCTGCACGCGCCCGCGCGACCCCATGCCGCTCCCCAGCCAGGGCCTGCTGGGACCCCAAGCCAGAACCCAACCCCGCAGCCGTGTGCTCGGCGCGCCATCTAGTGGCTACGACTGCCAACTACAGCCGGGATTGTTCATCCCCACAGGGATTCATTCAAATATTCTACTCCCTGTAGTAAGAAGTATTTCTCAAAAAAAGAACATGGAAACAACCCGTGCATCCAAGAATTGACATGTAAAACAGTTTCTACCTTGCCCATGCTTGTAATCACTACGAAAACAAAAGGACTTTGCTATGCACTAAATAAAAAAACACCCTCCCTCTAAATCAGTGTGGCTGCTGAGGCTCAACGACTTGCTGGCCAGATCCAGCCCAGGAACCCTGGTGGCCATCTTGGCTTCCCCCCTTCCCCAGCTCCAACTTGGGCTGCTTATTTCATGCAAACAGCTGGGGGCCAGTTTCCAGGTCCTGGACAGGGTTGTGGGTTCCTTACCTAGACACCTGGGAGGCCCCCCAGGAGGCATGCAGGGCTTGGCTACCATCTGGCTGCTGCCCCACATTCACTAAGCATGGCAGGCACAACTGGGGGCCGGCACCCGTCATGTGAGTGGATAATAATGCATGCTTATCCCTCCCCCCCTCCCCAAGGTGCTGGGAGCTGGGTCTGAGGCCTGATGCTCACCTAACGCTGCCGGTGATGGAAGAAGGTCTGGGGCTGAGACGGGATAGCTCCCTGCATGCCTACCTCCCCACGTCCAGATGGCTCTGTGAACCCCTGGGGTGGCCTGAGCATATGGATAAGGCTCATTTCTGGCCAGTGACCCCTCCTGGAGGCCTGGAACTCAGTTTCCAGCACAGTCCCAGTGGCGGTGGGACAGTGGGGACCAAGGGCAGCCCCACCCACCCCCACCTCTCCTCCTGGGTCTCCTGAGCCCTGTCCCAACACCACCCCCAGGAGTGGACCGTGTGCCACCTTCTCCTCCCAACCCCCCCCCAACAGCTTCACTCTCCATCACCACCTGCCCTACTCCTGGGGGCCTGTAAGGGGTGGCAGGCAGGCAGCAGGTCACCCCAGTGATCAGGGCCCGTGACATCACTGCCCAGATGCCCAGTCATGCTCTCCCAGGCTGCCTGCCAGTCCTGGGGCAACTACGGCTCCCTCGCTCAGCAGCAAGCAGAGTGCAGTGGCCGTGCCGAGCTCAGGTGAGTGCGAGGAGGGTCTAGGCAGAGAGAAGGGGGCTGTCTCCCTCAGCTAGGCCCCACGGGGAGGCCAGGTTAGCGAGGGCTGCCCTCTGCTTCCTTCCTGTGTCCTGCTTATCCAATGGCAGTGCTGCCACCCCGAAGCCATGGGGGGAAAAAAACCCCTGAAGCTTTCTGGCCTCAGTTTGCCACATCTGTGAAGTGGGGAGACCTGGGGTGGGGTGGCAGAGGAGGAGACTTGGGAAGTGGTTCAGAACCCTCCTAACCTCGAGGGCTGCTTCCGAGGCTCGGGCTTCCTGGGCACCCCAAAAAGACACAAAAGAGACGGGCCAGAAAGCCCCCCCCCCCGGGAGCTCCACAGCACGTGGCCCAGGGGAGGGTGGGGCGCGCCCAGGCTTGGGCACCCCGAGGCTGCGCGGGAGGGAGGGAGGCGGCAGGTGCAGCTGCGGGAGCGTCGCGGATGCCCGGCAGGGGACGCACTGCGCCCGCGCCAACGCCGGCAGCGTCCCGCCCGGCCCTTCCCGGAACAGGCCGCCCGGCCCGGAGCGCCTGAGGAGCCGCCGCCCGGAGGCCCCGACGATGCTCAGCCCCCGCGCCTGTGGCATGGTGGGCAGGGACAGGACAGGAGGCCGGGAGGCCGAGGAAGGCGCGGAGGAAGGCGCCCCAGGCCGGTGAGCACGCACAGGCCGCTCCCCGCGACCCTGCCCTCCGCGCGGGCGGCCGAGGGGGCGCACCCATGGCCGGCCCAGTCCCCCTGGGCCCAGTCCCCCTGTGGCATGGCGGGCGAGGACAGGACAGGAGGTCGAGGAAGGCGCGGAGGAAGGCGCCCCAGGCCGGTGAGCACGCACAGGCCGCTCCCCGCGACCCTGCCCTCCGCACGGGCGGCCGAGGGGGAGCCCCTGGGCGCACCCATGGCCGGCCCAGGCCCCCTCACTCACGGTGGCCCTGAGGGTCCCCCCCATTCGTGTGCTGGCTGGTTTGCTGACTGGCTGAGGAGCGCTGCGGTCCTCCTGGCGTCTCAGCAGCCGGGCCACCCCTGGAGAGCAGGCTCCCCGTGCTCCCAACCCAAAAGGACCCTTCTTCTTGAGCCCAAGGCCTCTCACCCTGGACGGTGTGTTCCCTGGCGCTCTCTTATGCCATCCCATGCAGCCCCCTCCATCCGCCCGTTCCCAGCCCCCATGGGATGACAGCCAGCGGCTGTGGCCAACCAGAGCACCTCATAGCTTGGGATTGGGTAGGTGGCCCTGAGGCTAGGGCAGGGCAGCAGGAAGAGAGACCTATCGGCTCCTGAAGCCCCTGTCGGCATTTTGGAGAAGGGCATTTGATTGGATCTGAAGTGGACGCCCCAGAAACAGACCTGGAGACTCAGAGAAGAAGCCCATAGGATCAAGCTGCTGCATCCAGCCATGCCTGAAGCCCACCCCAGGACATCCTGGAGGGCCAGCCGTCAGTTGGCACACCTGCACCCCAAATCAGGGTGACCCCTCCCAATTCCAGCTTCCTGTGCTGAGGTGCCATGGCGACACGTTTGTGGTGGCTTCAGCATTTGGGTTTGGGTTCCTGCCACCCTGAAGGAAGACCCAGATAGAATTTGCAGTCGCTCTTGGGCCCAGTCCTGGCTCCTGGCGGCATCTAGGGAGTGAACGAGCAGATGGAAGATCTCTCTCTCTCTATTTCTCATATAAAAGGGGGCTTTGTTTTCCTTAAGGAGCCAGTAAATCCCTTTATTCTTTTTTTTTTTTTTTTTTAAGATTTACTTGGTTTTATTGGAAAGGCAGATTTACAGAGAGAAGGAGAGACAGAGAGGAAGATTTTCCATCCTCTGGTTCACTCCCCAATATGACTACAATGGCTGGAGCTGAGCCGATCTGAAGCCAGGAGCCAGGAGCTTCTTCTGGTCCAGGAGCCAGGAGCTTCTCCCACGCAGGTGCAGGGTCCCAAGGCATTGGGCCATCCTCCACTGCTTTCCCAGGCCACAAGCTGGATGGGAAGTGGGGCTGCCATGTCAGGACATGAACCAGCACCCATATGGGATCCCAGCATATGCAAGGCGAGGACTTTAGCCACTAGACTACTGCGCTGGGCCCCATATCCTTTTTCTTATTTTATTTTATTTTATTTTTAGAGATGTGTCTATTTTTATTAGAAAGGCAGTTACAGATAGCAGAATCAGAGCCAGATCCTCCACCCTGGTCCACTCCACAGATGGCTGCTGCTTGTCTGGCTCGCGGCTGTCCCTTGTTCCTGAGCCGTCTTCCCTCCAGCCCTTGCCCAGGGACCTCACATGCAGCTGTCCTGGACCATTCCCCACCCCCAGAAGCCCGGCCTTGCCTCCTGTGTGCTGTCCAGGAGCTCCCCCAAGGCATGAGCTGATGCAGCCCCAGGTCCTCCCCTCGCACCCCCTACCCCTTACTCCGTGCAGGGACAGCCCTAGCCATCCCCAGAGCCCAGGGTTAGGAAGAGTGCTGGCTGTGCCTGTCTCACAAACTCTGTACTAGCTCAGGGCAACAGAGCCAAGAGACCAGCAGGGAGCCAGGAAGAATGTTCTGGAGCGCACCCTCCCTGGGGCTGCTCCTCTGCCTTCGGAGGATGTGTGTGAGCCCTCCCCAGGGATGCCCCAGCAGCCTGGGCTGACTCAGGACCCAGTGTCCTGGTCGATGGCTGTGGATGGGAATGGCGCCAAGTTGGAGCTGAGTTCCCCTCAGCCAGTCGCCGGAGCTGAGATGAGGAAGCCACGCTTTCTGGTCTGAGGGTGGAGCCCACATCCTCCGCCCCCAATAGCAGGAGTGCCATGCACTTTTGCAGTCTCTGCCATGTTTGCATGCCTGTTCCAGGCTCCCAGCTGAACTGAAGAAATGCAGTCTGCCATGACAGGTAGTGGGGGCGGGTGAGGAAGGGGTTATTTCTGAAGCTTCTACTTCTGCACTGCCTCCCCAGTCCTCTGCCAGCTCTGAGAGACGGCGTGATTGTTCCCATTTCACAGATTTGAGGAACTGAAACCCAGGGGCCTGGGACCTCGCTCCTCCTCCTCTGGGCCAGGCCGTTCAGGGGTGGCTGGGTCCATTGCCTCACAGGAACCGCTGCGTCCTCCAGTTTGCAGTCCCAACGAGTGTCAAATGAAGCACCTGCGAATGCTGCTTCTTTTCTGTAGATGCGGATCGCCCAGGACTGGAAAACAGGAGCAGGTGCGTGAGCTGAGGCTGAGGCCGGCTCTGTACGTAAAGGCTGCGGAAGTGATCCGTGCCGCCTGCCGCCTGCTCCAGGATGCTGCCCACCGCTGCCAGCCGCAGGAGGACCTTTGCAGCCAGATACTTCAGTAAGAATTGCGTCCTGCTCGGTGTGGGGGAGGGCTCACCTCTGCTCCTGACTCCTCACTTCAGGGCTAGCGATGGGAGGAGGGGCTCACCCAAGGCCACCAGAGAAGCCACTTGGCGTTGTGTGGGCTGAGAGCCCTTTGTGGTGTCTGGGGTCTCAGTCCTGCTCTCTCAGCTCATGGGCTACTGACCTTTGCAGTGGGCCAGCAGCCCCCATGGCGGGCTGCTTGCTCACAGTGCTTTTTCAGCACAGCATGATGGTTGAGAGCCAGGGGGCTTCTCTGAGGGGACTGGGAGGCATGGTGGGCACCTCTGAGCGGACTGGGGAGTTTGGGAGGATATCCTGTCTCCCACAGACCACAGGGGAAGTTGGACCAGTCTCCTCGGGAGCAGCTCTACAGCCTGGGGTAGCTCTGGATGTCAGCAGCTGCAAGGAAAAGGGCCTGGGATGAAACTTGGATAAAGGGCAATGGCTATCTGTGTGGGCCACAGGCAGGTGAGGCTGGCTGGGCCAGCTGTGCAGGTGTCCGTTGGCTGGGCTAGTTATGCAGGTATGCAGGTGTGAGTTGCCTGGGTCAGTTGTGCAGGTGCCGGCTCACTGGGCTGGCTGTCCAGATGTCAGCTGGATCAGCTGGCTGTGCAGGTGCTGATGGCTGGGCCAGCTGTGCAGGTGTCAGCTGTCTGGGTCAGTTGTGCAGGTGCTGGCTCATTGGGCTAGCTGTCCAGATGTCAGCTGGATGGGGCTGTGCAGGTGCTGATGGCTGGATTAGCGTTGCAGATGTGAGTTGTCTGGGCTAGCTGTGCAGGTGCTGGCTGAGTAGGCTCTGTTTTGGGGTTTAAAATCACGGGTATTTTCTCTGAGCTGGGATGCAGCAGCAGCCAATGAGAAAGGCAGCGTCCTTGCTTTTGTGGAAGGTTCCAGCTGCCGTGAAACAACTGAAGAGGTGGAAGGCACAACTCTTTGCAGGCAAGGACCAAGGAAGTCTGGCACCAGATGGCTGAATTCTAAGAACTAGATTGAATCGGTGTTTGGATGAAGGTGTGATGCGGGTGACATAAAAGGACCATGTTGAAGTGAAAGAGGCACAGGGAATTCGTACGTTCACAGGGATGTGCAACCACATCTGTCAGCTCACGAAGTACTTTCCTCACCCATACCCATGTCTCCACCCATCTGTGCTCTGTCTCTGTCCTAATCGGGGCATCATGCAAATGGGATGTTTTTGGCAAGGTTCATCTGTGATGTCACACACTCCAGAATGCTTGGTCAATTCCGTTAAGTTGTACATGATGAGCTAATCTCAAACTTGTTGACTGCTTTTTAAAATGTGTTTTATTTATTTGAAAGACAAAGTTAGACGAAGACATCTTTCATCCACTGGTTCACTCCCCAAATGATCTCAACATCTAGGATTCAGCCAGGCCTAACCCAGCAGCCTGGAATTCCATCCAGGTCTCCCACATAAGTGCAGGGGTCCAAGCACTTGGGCCATCCTCCCCTGCTTTTCCAAGAGCCTTAGCAGGGAGTTGGATGGGAAATGAAGCGGCCGGGACTAACGCTTGTACTTGCATAAGACGCTGGTCTTTCAAGCAGCAGCTTAACCCACTCCACCATGTCTGTCTACCTTTTGACACCATGATAAGAATGGACTAGCAATGCCCAGAACATCTCAGAAAATGGAGGAGTTGGCCTGTCCAGGGGTGAGGCCTTCAGGCTTCCCTTCCCCATCACTGGTCTCAGGTTGCATAAGCCCGCTTCTGCCTGAGGCTATTGGGTGGACCAGTCATCCTTCTGCTGCTGCTGCCTGCGAAGGAGGGCGGTGTGTTGGAGCCCATGGTTTTGGAGGTTCACAGTCTAGTGGGCCTCAGATGTAGGCATGCATCTGGTGAAGCAGGAAGATGGCAGCAGCCAGAAGTGAAGAGAGCAAGGCACTCACTGGGAGCCATGAAGCGGAGAGCTGGCCTGAGCTGCTCCTCCGTGACTGTGGTCTCCCTATCCAGCCACCTGTGGGCTGGTCCTGAGAGCGCCACCCTGACTGCGCGATGTGATCCGGTCACTTCCCAAAGCGTCTCCTTCAGACGCCACCTCTAATCCATTCACCAAGACTTTGGGGGCAGGGAGCAAGTGTCCAAACACAGGTCGTCGAGGAATGCCCACGCCTCGAGTCTGCTCTTAGCTGAACTTTTTGGGAATCTGGCGCAGAGGGAAGGCTCTTGGGGATCAGATGGCGCTGTTGCCCTCCCTTTTGGCTCAGAACTTTCCCATGTTAAGAACCTGCTAGAGCGTTCCTTTCTGTAGGATGCCACAGGCCACTCAGTGCAGTCTCATGTGCTGGGCCTGGTGCTAGAATCCGTACCGAGCAAGGGTCACCAGCCATGGCTCCAACACTCATAGATGAGACTGTCCTGTAAGTTCAGAGCAACCGAGACCCCTTTTCTCCCCAGCTTCCCAATGTTCTGCTTGCTCGTCTGCCTGGTTTTCCTCCCCCGCCCACCACCACTCCCTGCCACCTGCACTGGTGGCTTCTCCCCATCCTGAGTGCTCCCCCAGCAGCAGGAACCATTGCATGTCTGAATCGTGATGGTGACAAAGATCAGAGACCCCCTGCCCTACCCAGCCTGTGGATCCAAAACGAAGGGAATGAGTCCCACAATGCCTACCAGGCCCCAGCTCCCTGGCCACAGCCAAGGTCAGGACCAAGGCCAGGGGCCGGTGTGCAAGGAGCATCCCTCCAGCATGCCCCACCTCTTGCCTCAGCACCTCTGCGAGTTGGTTCACCCTGGTCTCCCTCCAGGGAATGCTCCCTGATGTCAGGAGGCCAGGGGACCTTGGGGGAACCTGAGCAGGGAAGTAAGACATAGTGACTCTTGGACAGAACTGTTAGGAGGGAAGAGGTAGAAAGAGAGGAAAGGCAGGTGGATGTCACATTGAAAAAGTTGGGCTGTGTCTCTGCAGTGGGGTGTGAGCTCAGCTCTTGCCTGTAGGTTTCACTGTCTGCCCTTGGCCCTGCTGTCTCTTCTCAGTAACATCTGTCACTTGCTGGAGGTGTCCTGTGGAGTCCCATGTCTCTCCCTACTGCCGCCCCAGCCCAGCCCATCATCTCCGGCTGTGACCTCCCCTCACTGGGTCCCAGTGCCACTCAGCTCTGGGCAGCCTCCCCGCCAAGCCTTTGCCCCATCTCCCCACACACAGCCACCTGGTTCATGAACTCCCCGTTTCTGACTTCTAATCCAACCCTCACCTCCCCATGTGTCCCCGCACCATCTGGTGGCATCAGAGAAAGGGTGGAGTGCCACCAATGCTGGGTGGCTGTGGGACAGGTAGTCCCTGGGGAGGGCACCTAGGAGATAGGTCAGGGGAAGGAGCCTGCAATGGGTGTGACTCAACAACCAGCAGATGAGAGAGCCCTAAATTCAGCAATTCAGGGTCTCCCGAAAGCCTGGAAGCAGTGCGTATCACACTCCGCTCACACCTGTCACTGGCTCAGCCACTCACCAGCATCAGGGAACTGCACTACCACATGCCTGCAGCTTCTTTGAAAGAATTACAGCGAGCAAGAGACCTTCCATCCACTGGTTCATTCCTCAGACGGCCACAACAGCCAGAGAATGCAGTCGTGGTCTCCCGTGAGGATGGCAGGGAGCCCCGTTCCTGGCAGCATCACTGTCCCCTCCTGGGGTCTGCATGGGCAAGGCAGCAGGAGCCAGGAGCTGCAGTTGGTATGGGCTGTGGCCATCCTATCCATGAGGCTAAATGCCTCCTATTTTTCTTCATAGCACTAGTCATTATCATATTGATGTTTAAGTCACATTGGATACAATTTACCCTTTCTCAGTACATGATTCGTTGATGTTCAATAGACTTACCATTGTAATTTTTAAAAGATTTGTTGGTATTTTATTTGAAAGGCAATTTAGAGAGGGGAGAGAGAGAGAGAGAGAGAGAGAGAGAGAGAGAGAAGAGAGTGAGAAAGATCTTCCATCCACTGGTTCACTCCCCAACAAGCTGCAACAGCCAGGACTGGGCCAAGCCAGTGACAGGAGCCATTTACATCTCCCATGAGTGGCAGGGCTCCAAGCACTTCCCGTTCTGCTGGCTTTAGATTTGGATTCTGGTTTTTCTGGCTTCTTAAGGTGAAAGCTTGGGTTCTTCAATCTCAGCAGTTCTATTCTGGTTTAACTGCCCTTCCCTCCCCTGCCAGATCTCCCGAGAATTCCCTTGTGGCCAATCTAATACAAACACACAAGGTGCATGACAAAACCCATCACAAAACCACCTTCTATTACTGGAAGCCTGTGGAAGGTTGGAGGCTGTTCCGGGCCCCTAGCAGTAGTGGATGGGCAGAGCAGGGAGAGGCCAGAGCAGGGAGACTGTAGGGCAGGAGGCCATTGGAAGTCCCAGGAGAGGGCCAGGTAGAAGCGAGGCCATAACAGTGGCGGGGAGGTCTGAACATAAGAAGGTAGAATTCACAGGGTTTGGTGGCCAGATGTGGCAGGTAAAGGCAGAAGGGGGCAAGTTAAGGCCCGGTGTCTGGGAAGGCAGATGGAAGAACATGCATGAGAAGAAATGAGTGCACAGAGGATGCAGAACTGGGGCCCAGGAAAGGCCTCACGGCAGAGGTGGAGTGCAGACAAGAGATGGGCCTAGACACGAGACATGGGGCTTGGCTGCATGGGGCTCCCCCAGAAGCCTGTGCTCTGAGACCTGCTGAGGGCTAACGGTGGCTGCAGGGCTGCTCTCATCCAGCGAGGAGGAAGGAGGACAGGGCCCCAGTGAGCCTGCACTGTCGCCCCAAGCTCTGCTTCCTCGTGCTTCCTGGTGGGGATAGGATGTCAGGTGGGGACTGGCCTGCCAAGGCCCCTGTCCCTGGCTTCCTTCTCCGTGTAGCTTCACGGGGTTGGTCCCTCTGTGAGTGGGCGGGGGGGGTGGGAAGGTCCTGCTCTCCTTGGAGGACATGGGTCACTTGGGATACTGGGATAAGCATCATGAAAGGACTATGTC